CTTAAAAATCCCCCTTTTTTTTTTTTTTTTTTTTTACTATCTTTGAATTTGTGGAGATAGTTCTAGCTGTTGCTAGTAAGTACATCTGGAATATTTTCTCAAGCATGTGTATTGATAATTATAACTTCTTAAAATGGCTAAATTTAGTCTCACTAGCTAGACGTTCACCTTAATTAAAACGAAATATCAGGCTTTCAGCTAAGTTAATATTAAACAAGTTGTTAATATAAAAACCCTGATCATAAATTATTCAGGTGTTGGCTTCTGAACTTACCTTTTGCCTGTCCTTAAAGAATACTGTGTCAAGGCAACCAAAATACATGTAACTTGGATTATATTTTTGAGGTATTGGAAATTCCTGTTCTGTTCTAGATATTGTCCAACTAAAACAACTTCACGGGTGCTAACTGTAGTATAATACAGGATGTATTTTTGAAAATAAATGCCATTAAAGCATATGAAATATTTCAAGTAAAGCATATTAAATATTTCAAGTGTATTGTATGTTTGTTTTCCTTTTGATTATCTTGAAATACATATAATCAGTGCAGCAGACTGTACAATTCCTGTATACCACGTGACTATATGACAAATAGCATACCTTGTCCCTATCCCTCCCTGTTTTGCCATCAGTAATGTTCAGTAGGATGCGTGATTCACATCATACAATAGAGAGAGAAAAGCCTGTCCCAGCACCCTGAGCCCTGCTACCGACAGGGCAGCACGCAGCTCTCATACATGTAGTCATAGTGGTTATTTTGATCAGCTACAGTGGAAAGGAACAGCATGTTTTTCTTTGCACTTCCACTTAGCCACTTGATAATACACCTGTAAACATCCATGAAACATTTCTTTTCTTACCACAATTGTAGCCATTGCCAATTCTATTTTTCTTTTCTGCAGGCTGCTCTGACTCTTCCACGGAGACCACTTCTTCATTGTTCTACTGTGATTCCTGTTGTGGCTCTGACATTAAAGTTTATTATGCACCTTTTCAGGCTTAAGGATTCATGGTGCTTTCTTCCCTGGATGTTGTTCATATCCTGGACTTCTCATCACATCCGTGACGGGATTCGTCATGGCCTCTGGATCTGCCCGTTTGGAAAAACTCCTCCTTTGCCATATTGGCTGTATGTGGCAATTACAGCATCTTTACCTCATCTATGTTCATTTATTATGTATTTAACAGGCACTAGAGAATTAATGTCTATAAAACATGGAATCCGCATTGATGTATAAGGATGATGGCTCAAAAAGGTTGTTTGTATTAGCACTTGAAATAAGCTGTCTGTTTATCACTGAACTGGTTTCCTTATATTTCCTACAACTTCCGAGTTAGGCTTTTTAAGCCTGTGGAGCCAATTACAGCTCCTGTACTGACGTTCCTTGTGGTCATAGAAACCTATTTCATGAAAGGTAATAATTTTGTATCTCTACATTCCCCTTGTTAAGTATGTGGTCTTCCATTATAGTTCATGCATAGCTAGCTGATGAATAAAGTACTTAGTCTCTCTCTGTAGTAATTACATTACGTTTTACTGTCATGGTGCCGTTCATCTGATCACCATTCACTTTGGATTTGTATTCTGCCTTTAGATAATACATTTAATCTAGATAGCATTTGTATAGCACTTTGAAAACGTGAAGTACTATGTAAATGCTAAGTATTAGTGAGAATTTAGTAGTGTATGGCACTTCTAAAAAACATCAGTTAGCCTTTTGAATGTATTTGTTCTCCTGCTGGACTCTTCTATACAACTGTTTTAAAAGAAATGCTGTTTGTATTTCACAATGTGCAAGTGTATATCTGCACGTCTTTGAACACTGCTATCATACAGTGCTTCTACTAAATTCCATTCCTCTGTAGTTGCTTGGTGCTCAGTTTACAGGTAACTACTAGCTATTATTTGTGGTTAGGAGAAGACAGTTTGGTTACAGTATTATGTGTGTTGGCCAAATTGTTTTAAGTTTAAAAATATACTAATTAGGGATATTATTTAATTTGGAACTAAGGAATTTTAGTAAATATTAAACAATTGTGTAAAGGCAATAAGCTTTAGGGAAGATTGGGGAAGAGATAAGAAGGTCAGAATTGCTCCAGGTGTGAGTTTGCTTAAAGACCTTACTACTGTACTCATAAACAGCTAAGTGCAATATCATCCTTATTATTGTGAAATAAAATCCATTCTTAGTATATGGAAATAGAAATTTCTTCATAAATAAGTTCCTTAACAAAAAAATGTTGTTATGTTGGAGGTTCATAACGTCGTAATTTGCACTGTGGCCTATTTGAAGTAACAGTTTTCATTTACAGAAATCTCTCAGAAAAAGTCCCAAAGTAAAAATTAAGCTCTTGTCTAGTTTACAGTGTAAAAGCTGAGAAATGTCTGTTAGTAATTGTTTGGTTAATTTTTTAGTCACTGAACTCCATGGCCCATTAAGGAGATGGGGCCTTAATTATTCCAGTTTGTGATGAATAGCTGTCAGAAGGGATTATTTTTATGGAAGAGTGTATATAGGGTGGCATGTGCTGAACTTAAGTTATGAAAGGGTGCAAAGATTAGGCGATGTGTTCATACTACATTTATGTTAGTAAATGTATATTAGTATAAAGTACAAAAAAATAACAGAAAATATTAACTGGGATGGCTGGCTTCCTGGGTCCCAGAGACCTTCTATGGCTGCAAAGCACTAAAGGCTCTCTGTGGCACACTAAGCTAATTACGGAAAGTGTTTCACCCTTTTAAAGTGTGCCTTCCCACAAAAAGAATAGTCTCTGCCCTGTTTGTTCTTCACATTAGAAATCATGCTTATGGAAACTTGTCTGACAGTACAGTGGGCCTGTTTAGCCTTTATTATAAAATGAATAAAAGTTCTTTTCTTGGAAAGAAGACTGGAGAAGCAGGACATTCCTTAAAGGATTGTCCTCATACTGTGGATTTTTGTCTTTTATAGTGTGTAAAAGTTTCCTAGGAACAACACCACAAATGTCTTACTTTAGAGCCCTCAGAGCAGGAACTGTCTTTTATTCGAAGGCGTGATTGTTTAGTAGAGGAGGAGCATTGCTTGTTCATTTACTTCTAACCTGTATTTTAAATAGGTTAAATAGGCTATGAAATGCCAATAATGAATATATTTTGTGCAAGAAGTGAACACTTAAATCCGTGTAGAAAATTTTCTGTATTCTTGTTTCATGGTATAATACTGGTATAATTTTGTGCTTTATCCAGATTTGTTGCAAAGGGAAATGTACATAGGAACAAAATGAAGAATTACACTTTCTCATTTTTAGATTGTAGCTGTAGCATTTTTGGTAACTATATATCCACCAACAGTCCTTAAGATTGGTACTGTACTGTTCTAGCTGTCTTTAAGGATCAGTTAATGGGTACATCTTCAGTAGTTTAAAAACATGTATTTTCATATTTTTCTGTATTTATAGACGTTTTTGTTGGGTTTTTCACAATAACTTTCAGCTGTATTTCGAAAGACTGTTTTTCTGGTCATGTTCTTACACCAGTTCTACCACAGCAATAGATGAACACCACTTAGAAACATATTAAGGAAAGTAGCAAAGACCTGTGGCGTGACTTCTTTCTCTCCCCAAACAGACGCGGCAGTCTCATGCTTCATCCTGACAATTTTAGGCAACTTTAGCTGAGGCCATTGATAGCTTTTTAAGTTCAACTGACATATTGCATGTAATGCTGTAATTTGTAGGTAGCCAGATTAGAGAACAAAGGAGAAGTTAAATATTTGTTTCAGCCCATGTCACCTAGGAGATATGCCTGCCTATATGAATGAATTTAATAACAGTTTCCTACTGGTATTTCATGTACATTTCAAATTTATTGATATTTCTGACTATGCATTGATACCTGCCACGTATAGCAAAAGCATGGCAAAACCAAACCAAAATACTAAACCAATGAATTTGTGCTTTACTGCATGCCTTACAATAAAGAGTAAATGTGAAGTACAAAAAGAATGTGAATCACACAAAAAACTGTTAGGCAAATTCAAGCTAATAATTTCATGCACAATGTATGATACGTATAACTAAAATATTAGTTATTACAGTGGTTCATTTATGTGCTAGTTTTGGCTGGGATAGAGTTAATTTTCTTCATACAGGCTGGTATGGGGCTATGGTTTGGGTTTGTGCTGGAAACAGTGTTG